AAAAAAAAAAAAAAAAAAATGGACTTTTTCCACAGTACAGCACCAAGGGGACCTTCACTGGTGGTATCTGTCCAGGACTGCTGTCAGCACATTATACTGCATAAGAACAAACAGGGTTTTTCACACTACTGCAAAATAATAGCAGTTTCACAATTTTCAAGATTATCAATGTATGTTGAACTATACCAGATCTGCATTATTTCAGATGGGGAAAAGCTAAAAGTCACAACATTTTCTATTTTACTTCCATCTGAAGTAAATTTAATTGAAGTAATTTAATTGCTTTCAAATATGCTTTGGTTCTACTCACTAAAAAAACCCAAAAAAAAGTGCACGAAATTATCACATGCAAGCATCCTTTATCAGGAGTAATATCTTAAATTAAAACTAATTTTATCTGGCAAGTTAAGCTATGCCTTTTTCCTTTCAATTTAAAATGCTTTAGTCAAAATGGTATTTTAAAATCGCTTACTGACAAGAATGTCCTTTGCTGTGACTTTCCAATAAGCTATTGGTTTGGACATATTATTAGAAGACAACCATAAGCACATTAACAATCTGTGAAAAATTTACTCTTTGCTAGGTTGAGTCTACAGAGGGGACCAGCTACAAAATATTTTTTACATAGAATAGAAGAAGCACTAGTTTGCTGTCACTGTTTTAACAAGACTCACTATTTCGCAGCCTTATCCTGTTATTTTTAGTCTTATTTTATATAGTTATTATAGTTATAGTTATTTTAGTCTCCTGCTAACGGACTGATGACACATCTGACAGTAGGAGATTTATGGGTAAAATATCTGTTCACTGAACATTACAAATTATGACTCCACCTATCATGGAGATCTTGCAACCATTTTCCAGCATGTACTACATGCATGCAAGCATTAGCAGAAACTGGCTGTGGAGATGCTTACTGCCATCACAAAATACTCCAGCTTACATCATGCTACAGTTTGGTCTTAGTAACAGCAGTCTAGTTATGCCAAACCTGAAAAAAATGGCACTAAATTACCTTGTACATGGGTGTGCACAGGACAAATACAATCCTCATCATCCAAAATTAACTTACTTGTCAAGACTCACAAAGAATCAAAAAGTACAGAATGTGCAAAACACTTTTTTTTTTAAGCACTCAAGCTTATGATTTAGACTTATAATACAGATAAATGGTAAGCATTGATTAGTCTTTGATGACATCCTGAAGAGTTTGGGTTTTTTTTTTGCTTCCAGAATGAAAAACAATTGTAAACCACTTCTGGTAATAATACAAACACTTCTAACATTCCCAGGTCTACTGAGGAATAATTAACTTTTCATAAAATTCACTTTGAATGAAACAGAAATTCAGGCTAACAAACAGCTACCAGAAGCATGTCAGTGTTTCACCCATTTTGCAAGATTTGGGACACTGATTCCTTCAGAGACTTGAATCTTCTGCATGAATCAGATTATTCAGTGATGTGAACTGAACTCTGTTAAAAATCATAGAACATAATTAGATGCCTTAATGTATGATAAGGTCCATATTACCGCTTAGAGAGGAAGATGAGAAGACCATAATGTTAAAAGGTATTTTCTTTTATCTCTGACTCAATTTATGCATGTAGACATTAGCTCTATGCTTGGTTTTGGTTCAGGAGCAGGAAAAATAAGAGTAGTTTTATAAAATTATATTTTTTTATTTTAAAACTAATTTAGAAAAGAAAGTTTGAGGTTTTATGTGCTTCTTGGAGGAACATATGAAAACAACAAAAATAAAAAACCAACAAATGTGTAGTTTTCCTCTCACTCACAGCCTCTGTCCCAGGAAGGGACTGATAGGTGAAGATGAATATCAAAATGTTTCATATCCTAAGGTAGTCATGAGGGATTATAATATTTTACTTCAGTATTTCAACAAATTCCAGTATCTGAGAATGAATCCCACAGTCTTTTTTCCATGAGAGGCAAGGCTTGTTCTTCCGCAAAACAGTAAGTTTGGAACTCAAAAATCAAAGCTGAGCTTTATTCTACTAGAACCCCATTCAAAAGTTTGCGGACAGAAGTGAAAAACATCTCAGAAATGGAGGGAAAACTCAGAGTGTTACGGTCTTAATATCTTTCTTAAAAGTTGCTTTAATCACTTTACTTTTGTTCTTTGAAATATTTCTGTACTTTGTGCCAGTCTCAGACTTGCATTTTAAAAATAAAAAACTGCACTATAAAGGTACCTGCCCTCTAGTGTAACATTAAATACTGATTTTATCTGGATTCTTAAGACCTCCTCTGGCTTTCTAGCTAGTGAGCCAAGCACACGTGAGAGTCTAAGGAGCAACTGCCTAAAACTGGTGCAGAGGCTTGCTGCCCCCTATGGAGAAATCCTTTACAGACCTTTCCATACTTCACACTCTTAGCAAATACATCCAGCAACCAGGACAAGGAGCATGTGGTTAAATATTATTAAACACAAGTATTCTTAACAGTCATGAGAATGAAACAATACATTGTGTTCGAGACACTGGACTCAGATTGCAGGAACAGGAGTAGGAAGTGCAGGAACACCCAAGCTAATTTTAAACCTGGCCAATTCCAGAGCCATGCCAGCTCCAAGGCTCATGACCACCCATGTGGATTCTGCAGCTCTTGGTACATTGTGCTGCTATAGTTATGCAGCTTATGATATGCAAGCTGATCACTTCCAGCCTAACTGGCACTTAAAACACCTGTGCTGCCACACAGATGTGGCTCAGGAGTTACACCTTTCCACCATATCAGCTGCCACCCAGGGTGCTGTAAACCATCACTGCAAAACTGGAAACTTAAAAACCATTGGGGCAAGAAACCAGAATATCAGCTCCCCTTCACAAAAATGGTCATTCCTGGTCTCTTTTCCTCTTCTGATATCAATGCTGTTAAGACGTTACACTGCAAACTGATTACAGAATTCATTCAGGAAAACTGAAATTATGAAAGATTAATTGTTGAAAAGTTCAACATCAATGCAAATATGTTTAGTGCAATTATTACAGAATTCAGGGGATCTTCCAATGTTCTTGGGTTTGCTCAAAATTGATAGAAAGGACTGTCAAGAAAACACATAGCATCCTAGAAATAATTTCTAAACATCAGGGATTTCAAAGCTAGGTCAGCTTTCACCTAAAAGCAGTAGATGATAAAAGTCTGATAAAAGTAAAATGTAGCTCTCAAATACAGCTGTTTCAGTTATACTGAATTTTGCCCTATATCCCAAGTAATAGACAGGATATTCTTCATTTTTCAGATAAGAACAGACTGCTGCAGTAAATTCAGGGTAATTCCAGTCCGCTAACAAACACAAGGCCTATGGAAAGCAGCTGAAGAAATCTACATTGTCACTCCTTTGTACAAATAGAATCATTTCTGTAGCTGTGCAACGAATCAAACCAGGGGCCAAAACCTGCTTAAAAAAAAATCCCACCACATTTTTAGCCAGGTGGTTCCCTGTTCAGCATCATGCTCATGAGAGGTGATAAGGCAGGATACTTTTCCAGCAACAATGCCAACTTGAACCATTCCTCAAAACCAACTGTGAGTTTTCTGTGTGGCTTTCATGCACTTTCACAACAGATGCTACCAATCTGGGTTGGACTGAGCTCAAATCTTAAAAGTCTGCAGGACTATCTGGTTCACAGAACCTCCCAGACAGGTGTTTCATCCTGGCTTGAGGTTTAAAAGACATTTTCAAAACAGAGATATGAAGAGCTCTCTAACTCCATGGCCAAGGAACACAAAAACATTCAGATCAGACAAAAGCTTCAGTCTGTTCATACAACTGCCTTGGGATCAACAATTCCAATGGAACAGCAACGATGTGTACTAGTAGAGTGCAAACCACTAGGTCTACATAACCTGCATTTTAAACTCCCTATTCTACAATCACTTGAAAATTTGCCAGCTTGCCTCCGAGCAAGTACAGGCACTAAACCCAAAACATGAACTAAAGCTCAAGTATCTCTTTATTCATCTACTGTAATCCATACATTGAAGAATAAGGGATAAGCACTTCTATGACAGCTCTTAATGACACATGATAGACACCTTTCTGTAGATGGGAGACAGCTGCACACAATTCTTATGTTCTGTTAAAGAACTTCTACATTTAAGGACATTCAGCCAAAGTCCATTGGAATATAGCTGCCAGGAACAGAAAAATCCCAAAGTAAACAAGAGAAGTATCTCTGGAAATAAAATGATAGAATTTATAATTACATCCTGACTTCAAAGGATATATATGTCCATGCCAAGGTGTTTTAAAGCCCAGCAACATTCAGCTTCTTAACTGGAGACTTTGGGTACTCACAATGTACTAAAAGTCAGACTTTTGAAGGAAATTTTGTAAAGGAGAGGGCTGTACTTTTTAGTACTGATCAACTTCCTTAATTAGTTGAAACATTCATTTAAGAAAAGCTGCAGTTAAAACTAGCTCCATCCAAGTAAATAACATTTAACAATACTGTAACAGCACTGAAAAAAGAAACTGTGCAGAAGCCAACATGCCACAAGATACTGTCTCTGAAGCCTCCACAAACACCGAGTAAACTAATATCTCAAGGTGGCAGATAAAAATAACAATAGATGATTGCTGGAAAATGAAATGGGAGAAACTGGACATGACTGAAAGGAGGCTTCCTAGGTCACTGTGCTGTGTCCCTCGTACTGCAGCAGGCACCACATCCCATGATAAATTAAAAATACTGAGTTCCAATTTGAAATTAGGTAGGTTCCAGAGCTTCTTCATTTGCTGCTCCAAGGAGGTGGATATTCCAGAATGTATCTTTCACAGTAGCAATTGACAGAGCAGACTTATTAGAACTTTGCTTACAATTGGTGGCAACACTGTCCAAAACTGCATTTAACAATGTAACACTTACAATGTTGTTTTATAACAGCACAGAACTCTGGAGAAATGGTATGTTTTGACTCCACTCTAACAATCTGGGGATTTGAATAACATGCCACTGTGCAATAGCCACCATACAGTTAATCTACATTTATGCTACTTCCCCTTTTTGGGGATACAAGAATCTTGCTAAATATTACATAAATATACTGCAGATTACTGTGGTGCTGCAGGGAATACTGAGAATCAATACTATCTTGCCAGAGGAAATACCAACTAAAGGAAAAAAGATTTATCTGAGAATACAATGGATCATTTTACTCCATGCTTTAAGTATTAAATTTATGCCTATTCCTTCAGCATATGTCAAGATTTGGAAAGAGGACACCAAAAGGACACTAACCAATCAATCAACACAGCAATTCTTACATTCTTATGTAATGTGCTATCTATTTAGAAACTATAGCCAAGCTAGGCTTCACTGCCCAAGAGCTAACAATCAACAGTTAAAGAGGTCATCTTAAGGAAAAGAGATATATGCCACAATACAATTAACATGCCACTGTAAACCCCAAAAGTTCCTGAATCTTTGGCAGCTAAGACCAACTTTTCTCAAGTTCCAACTTCTGTGAAAACAGGCTGATACATAAATAAAGAAGACCCAAGCTGGTGCTGTAATTCTTAGAACAAAATGAAATATCCAATGCTAGAAAACAAAAAGATTTCAGGTGGATCAGAAATTACAAAAATATTTGAACTGGATCCATTAAGAGCATTTAGGTCCATCTGATCTCCAGAAATGGCCAAAACTTGTTTAACAGCTGTAGTATCTAAAGTAGGCCAAATAGCAGACAATATGATTAAGCAGTAGTACGTCTTGCTTTGGTATTTCTAGTGACGTTTATTTACTAACACCTAAACCACTTCATATTATCTAGATGTATAAAGGAAAGCTGGAATTCCAAGGCTCCACACGTTGCATGGATCTCTCTCTCTCTGGTTTCACTAGTACAAACCTTAGCTGAGGACAAAGAGCTCATGAAGAACTACAGCCTTCACTTTTTAACTACACCAAGATCCCAGGCACACCAACAGGTTAGAAGTGATTAAGAGCAGCACTGCAGAGAAGGAGTTAGGGGTGACAGTTGATGGAAAATTCAACATCAGCCAACAATGTGCACTTATAGCCCAGAAAGAACAATTGCATCCTGGGCTGCATCAAAAGGTTGAAGGAGGAGATTTCTCCCTCTACTTCTGCTCCTGTAAGACCCAACCTGGAGTACTGGCTACAGACCTGGTGTACACGTCTGGTTGTCTGGTGTAAGAAGGACATGGAACTGTTGGAGTAAGTCCAGAGGAGGCCATGTAGTTGATAGGAGATTGGAGCACCTGCCCTACAAAGATGGGCTGAGAAAGTTGGGGCTGCTGAGCCTGCAGAAGAGAAGGCTGTGTAGAGATCTTGTAGCAACCTTGCAGTGTCTGAAAGGGGCTACAGGGAAGCTGAAGAGGGATTCCTTCTCAGGAACTGCAGTGGTAGGACACAGAGTAATGGGCACAAACTGAGAGGAAATTCAGGTTAGATAGTAGGAAGAAATTTCTTCATGTGAGGACGGTGAGGCACTGGAACAGGTTACCCAGATAAGCTGTGGATGCCCCAACCCTGGAAGTACTCAAGGCTAGGTTGGATGGGGCTCTGAGCAGCCTGGTCTAGCGGAAGGTGTCCCTGCCCACAGCAGGGGGGGTTGGAAATGGATGATCTTTAAGGTCCCTTCCAATCCCTTAACATTCTATGATGCTGTATTTAGAACTACACCGGAAGTTTGTGCAGAGCCAGACTAAAATTCAGAGGGAACCACCTCTGCACAATACAAGAGCATTTCCTTTCTATTTGAAATTCCAAATCCACTTCCAAAGACTTTTATAAGGTGCAATAATGACCACAGTCTCCATTTTATTGGCACATGCGCTGAATTCCTCTCTGAACCCCTGCCAAATCACTTCAGGGATGAATAGAAGTGGGATATTTACTTTTAATCCATGGAACCTTTCTTAAAGCCAATATAACTGGCATTTTGCTTTACAGATGTGAACGAAGGAATATCCAGTTTCAAATAAATTTACTTTTGCTGCCTGCTGCATAATGAACAGACTAAAAGAAAACAAAAACACACAGGTATCACCTTCTGACTGTCACACCAGGAAAGCAAATAAAATCCTTCACAGTGGATTTGAGAGCAACATCAAGCTTCCTGCAGTATGTATAACTTGGTAGCAATTTCAAAAGTTTTAAGAAAAAAGTTTATAAACCAACTTAAAAACTTGGCTCTTGGAAAGCTTGCTAAGCTTCTTAAAGGCAGTCTGGCTATTAAAACAGATGCTATAATGATTTACAACACATGCTGTCTAAAACCCCTAATAAATGCAGATTGTGATTGAGGACTTCTACAATATTTGTCTAGCCCACTGTTTGGACTGAACATTTTTCTTCTCTCCTTCACTAAGAGCCTTTCTCTTTCTGATTCCAATTTCCTCCTCTACTTTCCAGCTCCACCTTTCTCTGGACTAATGATCAGCAGATATCACAAAAGTATCAAAGTGGAAGCAGTGGCTTCCATTAAAGCCATTAATATAAAATGAAAGTGTAAAATGAAGTTGACATTTCTTTTCTCAGCTACCAAATACTTTTTTTTCAGTCTGAAGAAGTTCCGTGTTCTAGCATATACCATGTTCTTTTATGGGGAGTTAGTTTAACTGCATGAACATGCATATTCCTACATGACAAGGCATTTGCCTGTCCCTACTTCTTCTGAGGGAGAAAAGTAGGACAGATCAGATCTCTGCATAAAAATTGAACAGGGCTTAGACTCTTCACCATATGGTTCTACACTGAAATAGCACAATGCACATTTCCTGCTCCCTGCACCAACCAGACCGACCATAAACCTGTAAAAGGTGGGTGCTCTGTGTGCTTTCTCTTTTATATAAAATACTTTTAAACTTTAATGAAGACTAATAGCAGCTTCTCTAAGAGCATCTCTTAGCAAGTATGGTGGCCACAAAAAGCACTAACAGAAGAAAACGTAAATCAAGGATTAAACACAAAGCTTCTAAGTCTTATGCTTTACTCTCCTTGCGAAGACTTTATTCTTCACCCAAGAAGATTCAAGTCAAGGGAAGCAAAGGGCCTGACATGAAAAGGATATAATTTGGAGGAAGGAAGTTCCAGCTTAAGACCTGATTGGCTAGTGCAAGATAACGCTGAAACACTGAAGACATCTGAGCATTGAGGTTTTCACGTCTGCTGAATTCCTGAAGTACCTCTACTGTGAGCATGAAGATCTGCCGCAGATCATCCTCCTACAGTCAGGACGAACACAATACATTCAGTATCTCAGTCATTAATGAAACGTTGATCAATAAGATATTTTTCCAGAGAGAAAAATAAATTTCCAGTTTCACCCTACTTTCATTAAAATACAGGAAATACTTTGCCAGTTAGAACCCCACCTTTTGTCAAAATTAATTGATTACATTTGCAAAGACTATGAAAAAAATCCTCATATAAATACTAGTTGTTAAAAGATAAAAAACCAATATGTTTTTAATAAGTGGTGGAGAAAAAAGTTGGTCTTTGGCATGAAAAAAAGTTGGTAAGTTTTTCCACAACAGTCAGTTTAAAGCAATGCCTTCATATAAACATTTCTGACTGGCCAAACAATACATCTGAGAGACTACCAGACTACACCATCTGCAATAATATTTTTAAATACATACATAGCTCTCCTTGGCTTTAAACCAAAGCTATATTTAAGACTATCATTGTTCCAGTATGTAAGAGTATTCGTTTTGTTTGCAATTGGTAGCCAAGGAATTAAAGAGTCCAATGGCATAAAGATCTGTAGCTCTAGATTCATAAAATGGGCACAAAGGGGTTGCACATTTTTGATACATGTTTTAAAAAAATACATTAACAGTTTTCCTGAAGTAGCCAGTATCTGCATTATTTCCAGTATTTGTCCTATTAAATGCTTTTAGGCACACAGTGTACCTGACTGCAGCTGGCACAAGGTATTTTTGCTTCTCAATGGTTAAATTTTAGAAAGAGAGGTAGCATATATCAATACAGAACTAGTTTACCTGAAATATACGTTTACAGTTACCATGGAACTCCATGCTTAGTCCAATGTTGCTGGTTTTACTTGAACTTGAGAACTCGCTCAACAACGCCGTTAGAATGGAACAGGCCAAAGTTTGCTATAAAAAAAATAAGGGGGAATAATATAACTAAAAGATGTCCAATAATGCAATAGCACCTACAGTGTCCTTAATTTTTTAATTAGCATTTTAATACAACTACTACTTCAGTTCCTTCTAACACAAACTAGAACAAGTCAAACTTTCTGGAAAATAGATCCTTGGATGAACCATTTCTGGAATCACCAGGGCTCCATCCTTAAAGAAGAAATTTGAGTATTCGAGGAATATAAAAGCTGGCATCTGTGTGATAATCATTACAAATGAAACCAACTTAGTGCAAACCATTTCCCAGCCTTGCCATTTACTTTGTCTCCCTGTGCACAGGCCTTTACAGGTATTAGCCTCAGGGAAGATTCACTGTCCACTTATTTCTATTGATCTAATAGTACAGCTCACTCTAAAGTTTGTTTTGGCCCTTCTTTGCATTTGCTACACTTACCATGTTGGTATTTGATCATGATTAACTTTATAGCACCAAAAGTGATACAAGTTTGTCAAAAACAACACCTGCAATAACACTGTCTACTACATCTTTTCCCTCTCTCCCCATCAAAAAAAAAAAAATAGGAGAGGAATTCACAGAGAGCTCCGATACTTGAAAGATCTCGAGTACCTCCCTCCAAAGCACCACATTGACAAGCCTCAGAAATAACCCTTAAATCTACTCTATCAAAATTATGTTTCTGAAGTGATATAAAATCGGTGAGAAAAAGGCATGTTAATTTTAGAGAGACAGATTCATGAAGACTGAAGGTTTAATTATCTTTTTCATTCTTAAAATTTAAGGTAATTGAAATCCTTATCTAAAACACTACTTAAAAGCCAAGTTGCTGTATGAAACACTCCAGCCTTTGTTGCTGTTTTTTGAAATACAAAAAAAAAAAAAAAGCTTTTTTTCCTGATGCAAAGTCCAGAAGTCATCATCACCAGTTTTAATATCTTTTAACTGACCCCTGCACACAAAGGGGACCAAGTATTGCACAGTGGAGGTGCAAGTAGTACTTCAGACTTGTGTGTACACTACTGTAACAAGCACAATAGAAAGCGTATGCTGCTGAAATAAAAAGACTTTTTGTTAAAGAGATGTTCTTTACAAAAAGCTCCAAAATTACTGGCTATCCTCCCAGACTGTTTGGAGCCAAGGTGCCAGGGATGGACAGAGGGATAGGAATTGTTAAAGGGTCATGCATGCCAGCAAGTGTCCAGGGGTTAAACAGAAATATGCACACTACCTCTGAACACCCGAAAGATTAAAGTGGAGATGATACTATTTATGCAAGCTCATACAACAGCTGAGACCAGTGCCATCCACCCACCAACTGCAACATCTTTGTTCAGAAATGCCTCTGAAGTCAGTACCTTGACCCCCCCAGACGACTAGTTATCTTAGTCAGTAAACACTAAATTAACATTCTTACTTGCTAAATAAGTTCCAGACAGATCAAACATAGTTGCTTTGTGATAATACACAGGTTTTCTCTTCCACTAAGCAATAAAGCTCCATAAGTATAGCAGATCAGCATATTCCTGATCAGTTGCTAAGTAAAAGATTTCCCATTTTAAAGAAATTATTTATTTCCAGCAGACTATTTCTCATTTACAGGCAGCTCTGTCAAACAACACATACGACTAAAGAAGCATTTAGCCAGTGAAAACCAGCATCACAATTTAAATTACTCCAGTAAAATTGCAACTTTGTCATTTCTATACTAGAAGTATTTCTAATTGGCTCAAACATTTCAGTATTTTATTTCCTAATTTCTCTGCAAGGTATTCACACAAATATTTTTTTTAGTTAGAGGACATACAGATTTGATCTAATATTTAAAAAAAAACAAAACAGCATAGACTAGTATTGAGTATTAAACATTAAAAGTCATGTATGAAAATAATTAACCTGGGTAAAAAAAAACCAAAACCCTAACAACTAAGAAAAGCCCCTCAAGTCATCAAGTCTGACTTTAGCACAATGTTTCCAGTCAGAATACATGTTTTTAAAGAAACAATGCAGTTTTCTCACATGACTATCTAAAAAGTTTAAAACACAAGTTTTTATTTGCTTAAATTACTGACTCATGACATAAGGACATCACTAGCTGCAATTACAAATCTGTACACTTTGATGCTCTGTAACATACCCTGATTACCAAGTGGTATCAGTGGCTCCATTAGTACAACAACCAGGCTGAAACTAAACTGCTTCTGCTTTAGCATACTAAGATCTGGACACCAAGCCACCACCCAGACCACCACAGGACAAACAGGGCAGTGATGCAGACTACCCATCATTTGCAGTTATTTGCCAGTTACTGGAAAATCAATCAATCACCAAGTTCAAATGGGTAGGAATAATAGGAAGAAAAGTTTGTTCCCACTGTGATTACAAAAAATATTAGCTGTAATAGCATATTCCTTTTTCTCCAGTTTGTTTGTATGTATGTAATAATTTATCCTTTCTCTTTACAGAGTAATGTGCTACTGCATGGTAAAAGTGTGCTACAGATTTTTTTTGTGTGCTTTTCTCCTGACTTCAAGGAAAAATTTAAAAGGAAGGTTAAATTTTATGACTGATGATAGGGACATCTCTTCGAAAGTGTAAAGAGCAATGGGGACAGGTAAGCTGACTGAATCTGCTAAGAGTCCAATAAAGCAGCTTGAGCACTTGAGCATTGACCTGTTCTCCTGATTTCAATGAGAGACAGCTCAGATAGTTCTGGGACATCAGTACCTGCTTTAAGCATAACAGGAGAAAAATTATGTTACTAGATTTATACACCTTATTCTATCCAGCAGGCTAGCTCACTGCCAATACCAGGGCACACTGCATCCCTCTACTCTACTCCCTCCTACTGAACTCCCAGCATCCCATCAACTTCCTTAACTTGGTATTTCAATACCTGGGGTGCAAATCCTGCCCCATTCCCTTGCCATTTCAAGGGCCTCATATGCAACATTTGCACATCCACATGCTTCTGGCACCTGCGCTTACACCTTGCATCCATAAAGAATTGTAAGCACTCCCGTATATCCAGATCACCAGGGCAGGAGAAGACCAAAGAGAAGATACTGGCCAGCAATTTAAAATTTACTGCAACAACAGGCTGAGGTGAGATGGCTTGAGACTGGTTTCCTAGAAGGCAGATGCCAGCCACCATGAGTCCAGCTTTCAGACAAGAGCAGAGGAACAAATAAGACCGTAACTTTGCAATGTCAAGTATTTGCACAGAGCTCTGCAAAACCACCACTGCTTCTCAGAACTGCCATAAGACTATAGGAATTTATACAGACTGTTGTGCATAGCAGTAAGATGGTCATTTTCATGAGTATAAACCAATTATCAGCTCAAAAGAGTTTTTGCCCAGCCATCTATTAAACTTCCCTGAACAGACAAAAATATTTTAGAAACTCTGGAATAAAGCTCAAGTAAATTTTACTAAAAATAAAACTTGACTTTCATAAAGTAATTTTACTGAAGGTTAACTACTAATATTTTGAATTACATTTTTTTAATACACAGACATGTTTGGTGTGAAGACAGTAAGTACCTCAACATAAATATTATCAGAAGAAAGATTTCAAAAATATGAAAACCAACAATTTCAGAGAAACCAATAGTGGTGTGCTATGTGAAGTAAAATTTCTTCTTCTTACATGTAAGAAAATTGAATGCACTTAACACAAAATTCTGGGTGGGGGATTCTGGGGTTTTTGTGTTTTGCTTTTGGGGTTTCTTTGGTTGGTGGTTGTTGTTTTTGGTGTGGTTTTAGTTGGTTGGTTTGTTCATTTGTTTTCTGCTGGGAATTTTTTGGTTCTTTTTCAATTTTATTTTTTTTTTTAAGGTTTTTGCCACACCACAGAAGGGATAAACAATGCAAATCAGTAATAGGACACTGGAATAAGTAGAAAATGCAAGTGACTCTGGGCATCATATTAAAAGCCAGATCTGAATGTCCATTGTGCAGCAATGCCATTAACTTCATACCAGTAAGGGTACACCTCTGAACCTAGTTTGACTCACTCCCTAGCAATTTCACTAGTTCTGCCACAAGTACATACCCAAACAATAAGCCCATCTAACAAAATAAAATCCTTCTCTTGTTGAGAGAGAGGATTGCCTCTGAGAATAGCTTGGCACTCACCCCAGTTAGCTTTATTACCAGGAATAAACTTTATGAAAGATCGCTATACATAAAATAGACTCTCAGCTGCTCAAACAGAAGATCAATGGGACTTGTGATAAGAGATTAACTTGGCAATCAGACACCCAGTAGTAACATCCTTTTAGTGGTTTTCTTTTTAAATGGCTTTAATAAAACACAGACACTACAGAAAGACCGTGTGTCATTTTAACAATAAACAACACTTATATATCATTCATAAAGATGTAAAAGGTAAATACAACTTATTCCTCCAAATGGAATGTCCCCTATAAAAGAAGCTAAAGCAGTAATGTTTGAAGGGATTTCACACTTGTGCCTGGGCTGCCCATGGAATAAATGAAGTGCTTCATTTGAGGGTAGTTAGGTTACAAAGCATCTGAAAGGAAGAAGAGTTCAAATACACCCTAGGAAAAAATGGACATGTGGTACACCAGCTCTGCAGCAATAAAGCCAACAGACAAAGCAGAATGAACTCCAATACCAAAATTGTTTCCTCATTTTGAATTCAGAGCAGAGATACAGTTAGTTTGTCAGAGGTTTGATTAAAAAATTCATTTTATTACAAAACCTAAACTAACATGCAGTGCCTTCTGCACGCATCATTTATACTTACAGAAAAAGCAGTAAGCATATTTAAAAGAACGAAGGTCTTGCCTGAATTGAGCAAATCATAACATCTACCCTGTCACTTTACATCCCTGCCAGCCTGAATATGCATTTAGAGGACTTTTTGTCTCCATATGTATAATGTAAACTCTGTTACTGAAACCAAAGGAAAGCCATGTGAAGACTTAATAGTATCCCTAAACTATCTAAACTTAACTTGCACAAGAGCAG